CTATCCGTGTGTACAATTTACATATTTTCCTTGAGCAAAAATGACACCAAGTGAGTTGAATTCAGGTGCTGATCTAAATGATTTCTCAGTAATCCTCACAGCATGCCTGTTTCTAGGACTTAACCCTGGATTCTGATTCAGTAGGATTTCACTCTCAGAGAAACTGATACAACTGACATGGTGCAGTTTGGGCATCTGGATTTTAAAAATATATATATTTTCATTGATTTCAGAGAGGAAGAGAGAGAGGAACATTAATGATGAGAATTACTGATCGGCTTCCTCCTACACACCCCCTACTGGGGAGTGAGCCCACAACCTAGGCATGTGCCCTGAAGAGGAATCGAACCATCATCTCCTGGTTTGTAGGTCAACTCTCAATCACTGAGCCATGCTGCCAGGCTGGGCATCTGGATTTTTAAAAGCTCCCTTGGTAACTCCAATATGTAGCCAAAGTGAGAACTACCACTTCAAGGGATTTTCAAAGGGTAGATTACTAATTTCCAAAAGAGTCTGGGGTGCTTGCTAAAAATGTTGACTTCTGGGCTCTTTTTATATTTAGAATTAGACTTTTAAATATGTATGCAGTTGATTTTTTAGGAAAACAGAGTGGCACAAGTTCAAGAAATGCTACGGAAGAACTCATCTAATCCAACTGCCACCCTCCCTTCTTTTTGGTTGGGGAAACCTTAAGAAGGGAAAGGGTATGCTCAGAGTCAAACAGTAAGGTCCATGCTAAAAACCCACTGAGGACTCCACCCAGGTCTCCTGCCTCTCAGTCCAATGCTCTTTCCATTGCATACGTTCTTGTGCCATGCTATTATGCCTCTCCTTTCAAAAGGAAGATGATAAATAAGATGATGAAAGCTGCTAGTCTCTGTTGATCATAGGAGCTTGTCTGAGGACAGACATTCAACTGCTTTTTGAATAGCCACCCAGTGATAATGGCTTATCAACAAGAGGGGCCTGAGCCATACCCGTGATTAAGGAGCTGACTTGCAACACCAGGTTATTGGATTTCTCGAGGATGCACTGGCTCTCAGGATCTAGGCTGCTGGCTTCCGGCCCACAATGGTCCCCATGGCTTTGTTGGCACTGCGTGACAGTCTGAGTCTGAGGACTGAGGGGAAGTACAGGTTTGGTGAGCTTCTGGCTGAAGTACCTCTGAATTTGATCTAGCTCACTCAGATTCCTCCTGTAAAAAAAGAAGGGGAGAAGAGGACAAAAGGGTCTTCCACTGAAATTATAAACATCTTTTATGTTCTCCTGACATTCTACTGCTTGAGTTAGGACCTTAATACCTTTCATTTGGTCTATTAATACGAGGGCGCTCTTTCTCTCCAATTTACCAACAACTCATCCTTCACTTCTCTGATTACAATCCCACTACTAGGGACAACTTTCTCCCGCTTCTGTATGGCTCATGCAATTATTCTTCTGATGTACAGCAAAAATCCGAACTCCTGGTAGGAAACACTCTTGATCATCATTCTGGTCCTCATGCCCTCTATCTCTGACAGAAAAAGGCCTTCCTCTGGGATAACGCTGACCTTTGCTCATAACCATTCCTGATCCTTCAAGGCCTAGCAAGCCTTCCCTGACCATCCTCTAAACTGGCTTAAGGGCCCTCTGTGCTCCACAGCTCTATACTCTTCAATCCCATCACTTGCTTGTTTCACACTGATTTCCTCTGAAGAAGTATAAGCTCTGTGCTGATTCTTTTATACCTACTACACTCAGCATACTGGTTGGAAAAAATTAATCAACATTAAATGGATATAAAAAATGACTGATAACACTATTTTAATAAGTGATGCTTGCCACACTTCTTACAGAAAGTCTGGTGGGTTTTAGAATGTTCACCATGTTTGCAAGAGTGCTATCAGCATGGAAAAGCAGGCCATTTTTATTCTTATCATTCTCCAGTGGTTGTTCCCCAACCACTACTACCTTCATTTGCATAGGATTTAGTATTGTATTTTATGCTTTCAAATACATTACCTTGTTTAATTCTCAGCCAATCAGATGAGATCAGTAATTACTGTTTTACAAATGAGAAATGTGGGGACCAGAGAATTTAAGTGATTTGTCCAGGGTAAGTGGTATGCAGCTACTCAGAATCTGGGACTCCAAGTCTTGTGCTTTTTCCATGATAATAGATGGGCCCTGCCCCGACAGGGATCATTCCTGTCTCACAGCTCTGAATGCTGGGATCTGAGTTCAAGCTACTCCCCTTTCTTTGTCCGTATTCCTTTCAACTGTTAAGGTGCTCACATTTCTACCTTTCAAAGTCCATCATCCCCAATTATTGATCCACCTCTCCCTTAAACTCCTTCACTCTTGGCATCTCCACTAACTTGCTGTCTTAGATTTTCCTTTAGTTTTCTCATTATGTGTTAGTTTCCCTAACTAGGCCATGAGCATCTGGTAATAGAAGATAATATCTCAAACTTCTCCATTTCTCTAGTATACTCAATGTGCCTGATGCAACTGACACAGCATAGATACTAAATACTTGTGAAGTAAACCAAAAGTCTTTCTATCCTTTTGTTAGGAACAGCCCGGAGTCAAATCCAAGCTAAACGAGGGGACAAAGCTGATCCTTATTCTGCCACTAGAAGCCATGACTCTTCTAAATCACAGTAGATTTACTTAGGTGTCTATATCTGGGTGTATGCCACATGGACAAATACCTGTAGCAGGAACATGCAAATAAATATAAACACGGTAAAACTTTAGAAAATATGCAAACCCAACTGGCCTTGTCAGAGGTTCTGGGTGCAGAACCTACTAATATCAACCTACAAATTCCTCATCTGTGAAAAAAGTTTATTAATACTTGGTCTGTAGGCCTTGTAGGATTGCTCAAAGAAAATACTGTTTTAGGGCTTTGTGAACCCAAGGAAGTAATGCAAGATTATCTCTATTCCTCTCTATTTGGTAGAGAGTTATCCTGGTAGCACTAGTATCACCTGAGAACTCTTAAGAAATGCAAATTCCCAGGCCAGATTGAATCAGGAATTGTATGGATGGGTCCCAGCAATCTCTGTTTTAACATGTCCTTTCATGCAATTCTGATACACATTACATTTTGAGAACCAAAGCTTTAGAACAGTGGATTTTAGCCTGGCGATTCTGATCCCAAGAAGACATCTGGCAAAGTGAGGTTTTTGGTTGTCACAACTGGGAGAGGGGTGCTACTGGTGTCTAGTGGACAGAGTCCAAGGATGCTGCTAAATATCATGGGATATGCCCCACAGCAAAATATCTGACCCAAATGTCAACAGTGCTGAGGCTGAGAGAAACTGCCTGAGGGTGAAGGAGAGTTTCTTTTTCTCTCCTCTTACTGGGCTCTAAAATATGTATGTGAATGGCCTAATAAATATAGTCATACTATGGATGGTTTTACTTAAATATCCTGTTAATGCTTCCCTCTTTCTTAGTTTAGTCAACATCTGAGCCAGAGAAGCTCTGAGAATTGAAGGGTCATTGTACATCATCTGGATCAGCCCTGAATTATCTAATAAGTGTAGTGCAGAGAAAAGGACTTTATTTATTTTAAATCCTCATCCAAGGATATTTTTCCATTGATTTTTTTTTAAAGAGATTTGAAATTATTTTAATTTTTAATTTTTTAATTTTATTGATTTTTCACAGAGAGGAAGGGAGATGGATATAGCTAAAAACATCGATGAGAGAGAATCGACCAGCTGCCTCCTGCACCCCCCCTACAGGGGATGTGCCCGCAACCAATGTACATGCCCTTGACCGGAATCGAACCTGGGACCTTTCAGTCCGCAGAACGACGCTCTATCTACTGAGCCAAACCGGTTTTGGCTCCATTGATTTAAAAAATATATATGTATTTTTATTGATTTCAGAGAGGAAGGGAGAGGGAGAGAGAGAGAGGGAGAGAAAAACATCAATGATGAGAGCAAGTCATTGCCTCCTGCAAGCACCCTACTGGGGATTGAGCCTGCAACCCATAATCAAACCTGGAACCCTATAATATCCTGTCTCCAGCTGAGAATCTAAAATGAGAATCTAAAATCTATCTGTTTGGCTTAGTGGCTAGAGCGTCGACTGGAGGACTGAAAGGTCCCAGGTTCAATTCTGGTCAAGGGTATGTACCTTGGTTATAGGCTCCTCCCTGGCCTGGGCCCTGGTTGAGGCTCATGCAGGAGGCAACCAATTGATGTGTTTCTCTCAGATTGGTATTTCTCTCTGTCTTTTCCTCTCCTACTCTCTAAAAATCAATGTGGCCCTAGCTGGTTTGGCTCAGTGGATAGAGCGTTGGCCTGCAGACTGAAGGGTTCGGGTTTGATTATGGATTGCAGGCTCAATTCCCAGTAGGGTTCCTGCAGGAGGCAATGACTTGCTCTCATCATTGATGTTTCTCTCTCTCTCTCTCTCCCTCTCCCTTCCTCTCTGAAATCAATAAAAATATATATTTTTAAAAAATCAATGGAAAAATATCCTTGGATGAGGATTAAAAATAATTAAAGTCCTTTTCTCTGCACTACACTTATTAGATAATTCAGGGCTGATCCAGATGATGTACAATGGCCCTTCAATTCTCACAGAGCTTCTCTGGCTCAGGTGCTGATTAAGAAAGAGGGAAGCATTAACAAGACAGATGCTAGTCTGGAAGGATTCAGTGATTGTGAGGATAAAGATGGTGGACAGAACGAGGTTTTGTAAATTGTAAAGTAGATGAGAAGTTGTATAGCTATGAAGGTAGTTATCAATAAGTTTGGTGAATAATCTAAAGTTCCTGTATTTACAGTGCATTAATAGAGCCCCGTGAAGGAATAAAAGATCCAAGCTGAGACAGGTTCACATGAGGAAACCTGTGAGACAACAGGGTCCAATTTGACACTAATGTGCATGAAAGCCCCTATTAAACCTTCCAGAGGGGTGATAGTTGATGGAAAAGCTGTATTGCAAATTGCCACTGCCCATCCACTTGTGCTCCACTATAATTTCCTGTCTTTTCTCAGCAGAGGGCCTCACCTCAGAGAAGTCAGAATGGAAGTATGTGAGGACCAGGGCGGTGTGGTCAGTTTGTCTTCACTTGGCGAGACTGCCTCTCCCTGCTGCAGGGATTCATGAAATCGGCGGATATTCTGCACATGCTCTTCATGCCGTGATGCCTGGCTTCTTGAAACACTTCTGTCAGGAATAAATGGGGGCAAATAAATTTCCATCCAATGAGAAAACTCCTCGTGTGACAATAAACAAATCACCTTCCTGAAATGGTATTGCAAATCCATCCCACTACCACAGTTCTGGCTTCATCAACTTCTTGTATTTCAACAATCTCCTAAATAATCTTACCTTCCTTGTTACCCATTCCTCTTGAATAAGTTTTCCACATTATAGCCTGAGTAATTTTGAAAACACAGATCTGAAATAATGAGAATATTTATGGAGTCCTTATTACATGCCAAGCAATGCTCTAAGCATTCAACATGAACTAACCTATTTAATCATCATCATTCCTTTCTAGTTTTGCCCTCTTTTTTGTCTATAAAACAAATTTCAGCCGAAGCCAGTTTGTCTCAGTGGAAGAGCATCGGTCTGCGGACTGAAAGGTCCCAGGTTCGATTCCGGATAAGGGCATGTACATTGGTTGTGGCACATCCCTGGTAGTTTCTCTCTCATCGACGCTTCTAGCTCTCTATCTCTTTCTCTTCTTCTCTGTTAAAAATCAATAAAATATATTTTAAAAAAAACAAAAACAAAAACAAAACAAACAAAAAAATTTCAAATTCCTTAGTAGGACATTCAAGAACTTAACTCCAGCAATAATCTCGTTATTTTTGTTATTATTTAAAAAACGAGAGGCTAGATGCACAAAATTCATGCAAGGGTAGGGTCCCTAGGCCTGGCCAGCGATCAGGGCCAATCTGTGGGGTGACTGCTGGGGTGATCAGGGACCCCTGCTGGCACCCCCACTGGCTGGCCCGGAGCCTGCACACAGCTCCTGAGTTGAGCATCTGCCCCCTCCAACACTTGTAATATTTGTCTTGTGGGAGTACAGTGGTATTTCACTATGATTTCATTTACATTACCCTCTTGGCTAATGATGCCAAGCATCTTTACATCTGCTTATTGGCTGTTTTTGTTTGTATACCTTCTTTGGAGATATGTCTATTCAGATAATGTGTCCATTAAAAAATATTTTATTGATTTTAAATGAGAAGGAGGGAGAGGGAGAAAGAAACATTGATGTGAGAGAGAAATACCGATTGGTCGTCTCCTGTATGCAGCCCGACTGTGGATCAAACTTGCAACCTGGGTATGTGTCCTGATCAGGAATTGAACCAGTAACCTTTTGGTGCAAAGGATGGTACTCACTCAACTGAGCCACACTGGGCAGGACAACATGCCCACATTTAATGGAATAATTTGCCTTTATTATTGAGTTTAAAAAAATTCTTTATATATAGAGTTGGGCAAAAGTAGAGTTACAATTATTTGTATGAAAAAGGACATGCAGGTTATAATTATTACAATAGCTTTATTAACTATTTTTTGTGTACTAACAATTATAAACCTACTAATATTGCCCACCCTAATATTCTGGATATAAGTCCATTATCAGATATACAATTTTAAGTATTCCATTCTGTAGGCTGGGCTGTCTTCTCAATTTCTTGATGGTATCATTTATATCACTAAATTTAAAAATTTTGATGAATTAATTTTTTCCTTTGTTGCTTCCGCTTCTGGTGTCATATCTAAGGAATCATTGCCTAATTCAAGGTCATAAAGATTTACTCCTATGTTTTTTCTAAGAGTTTTAGTTTTTGTTTTTTTTTAAATATATTTTTATTGATTTTTTACAGAGAGGAAGGGAGAGAGATAGAGAGCTAGAAACATCGATGAGAAAGAAACATCAACCAGCTGCCTCTTGCACACACCCTACTGGGGATGTGCCCGCAACCAAGGTACATGCCCTTGATTGGAATCGAACCCGGGACCTTTCAGTCCGCAGACCGACGCTCTACCACTGAGCCAAACTGGTTTCGGCGAGAGTTTTAGTTTTTATAATTAGAAATATGACCCATTTGGAGTTAATTTTTGTATATGATGTGAGGAAGGGGTCCAACTTCAATTTTTTTGCAAATGGATATTCAGTTATTCAACACCATTTGTCGAAAAGACTATTTTTTCCTTAATTAAACCACCCTGGTTTCTTTGACATCTTGTTATTCTTGGGTTTATTTCTGAATTGCTAATTTTATTCCATTGGTCTTTATTTCTATTCTTATGCCAGTAACCTCACTGTGTTGTTTACTGTAGCTTTGTAGTAAGTTCTGAAATCAGGAACTTTTTTTTTTTTTCAAGACTGTTTTGTTTATTGTGTTTCTTGAATTTCCATGTGAATTTTAGTATTAGGTTGCCCATTTCCATAAGGAATCCAGCAGGAATTGTGACAATGTTTATTGAATTTGTAGGTCAGTTTGGGCAGTATAGCCATCTTTACAATATTAGTCTTCCAATCATGAACATGGGATGTTTTTTCATTTATTAAAACTTTAATTTCTTTATTGATTAAGGTGTTACTTCTTTTAACAATGTTTTGTAGTTTTCAGAGAATAATTTTTATAATCTTTTGGTTAAATTTATTAGGTATTTTATCTTCTTTGATGCTATTGTAAATGAATTTGTTTTTTTCAATTTCATTTTGGATTACTCATTGCTGATATATAGATACAATTGATTTTGCATATTATATTTTAAAATTTCCCCAGTTTAAATTTCTAGTATGGTAAAAAATAGATATAACATATAAACAAACTGCTTTGAGGTCATCAATAATTTTTAAGAGTATAAAAGTGTTTTGAAGTGGAAATATTTGAGAACCACTGCTTTACTAATGTATAGCCAGTATATAATAAACCACATAATTAAAATATAGAATATAATGAGTTTTGAGATACATGTATATTTAAGGAATTTATTACCAGAGCAAGGGAATAAATATGTCCATTACCCCTAAAAGTTTCCGTCTATGCTTAGTAAATACTCCTTCCTTTCAGCTCCATTCATACTACTTTGTCTTTAGGCAATTAGTGATTTGCTTTCTGTCACTATAGACTAGAATGTATTTTCTAGAATTTTATATAAATGAATTCATTTTGTTGTAAACCAACATTGACTTTTTTTTCTTTTTAAGAATTTATTCATTGGATGAATATACCACAATGTGGATGGCTAGCTAGAATTTGTCTTTTTGATATAGCCCTCTGAAGAGAGAATATTTTTGTTTGGACAAAAAACAAAACACTAAACTTGCAGCTTTTACAATTACTAAACAGTGGCCTCATCACTGACCTATATTTCTGTTCTTGTATAGTACCCTTATCCTACCCATATGTCTCATGGATGGCTATGATCAAAATAACACCTATAAAATAATAAGAGAAGACTTGATTTGGGTTGGTGAGTGTACAATACAATATACAGATGGTGTATCATAGATACTAGTATATCTAAAACCTACATAATTTTATTAACCAATGTCACTCCAATAAATTCAATAAAGAAAAAAAAAAAAAAAACCAAACCAGAAATGATGTAAACCTGGGATTTGACAGATACATGGGTTCCCTTTACGCAGAACACAGAGGCTCTCCTCATGTAGTGAGCAGGCAGAAAGCTACATAGCATTGTAGTGGACCTTTAAGTGGTGTATTGAAGTAAGTATTTTTCTTGGAATAAAAGGTCTACTCCGTAACTGCTGCTGTTGGAGTGGTTGCTGTAGGGGAAGATCCCCTGCCTTCTCTCTGAGGTAGAGAGATAGATATGGGAAAGACTGGTAGAGGCAGAAGGATACCAAAGACACCAGGGTCTGGAAGAGAATGGGGGGTGGGGAGAAGCAATCTTATTCTTAGACCCTGCCCTTTGACAGGATGGAATATGATCTAGCCTGATATCCACATGCATAGCCATAGTTGGCTTGGGTGAAAAGGATGAGCCAAGTGCATTTTATAAAATAACCTGGCAAATTGGTTTGGAAGGAGAAAGATCATGATTTCTTTCTCACACAGCTGATAACTAATTTTATAGACCAAGGTCAAAGGCCTTTGAAGAATAGAAAAACATATCTCTTGCCTGAAGCTATCCTTTTATTTTAAAAAAAATATTTTTATTGATTTCAGAGAGGAAGGAAAAGGGAGCGATAAAAACATCAATGATGAGAATCACTGATGAATTGCCTTGTGCATGCCCCCTACTGGGAACCAAGCCTGCAACCTGGGCTTGTGCCCTGACCGTGACCCCCTGGCTCATAGGTCAACACCCAACCACTGAGCCATACCAGCTGGGCTGAAGCTATCCTTTTGACAGCAGTAAAATTTCTAGTTCCTATATTTTAAAAACATTGTTTTCATAGGATCTTGAGGTTCCCAGATATTGAAACGGAAGGTCAACAAAGCTCTTTCCCTGTCTTTAGTTTCTTCTTTTAATAAAGGAAATGACAAGCCAGCCCCAACACTACTACACTTGGACTTCATTTCATCCCATCATCAAGAAATCACTCACCTCCCAGGGGAGGAGAAACCAAGCTCTTTGGAAGAGGTGTGAACAAGTTGTTCTGGCATCTGTCTAGCAATGCAGCCGGGGAGCGCAGCATACACATCAGAGACAGGGAAGGAAAAGGGATGGTATATTGGAATCTGTAGAGGTAATGAAAATAATGGTATACTTGACATCACAAATCCTTTTGGGACAAAGTAATATAAACAAATTTGTAAAATATAATATATACTTATAAATATAATTTACTTAGTATTTTCTATGTATTGAGCACTATACTAAGCAATTTACATGCATTTTCTCATTTAAACTTCACAATACCCGGAAGAAACCAAGATGGCGGCATAGGGTAGACACCCGAATGCAGCCTACCACAACAAATTTGAATTTAGAACTGAAAAACAGGGGAGGCATTGCCCTGAAGCGCCAGACGGCTAGCTGAGAGGAGGCTCTGCCATCTGGGAAGGAGAGAGAAGGCACGCTGAACCTCAGGAACTGTGAAGGTATGGAGAACTGTGTGCACGAAAAGGCGCTGGCTTACTCCCAGAGCTGGGAGAGGAAGGGCCGGACAGAGATTGCTGCTGGCTTACTCCCTGCACGCAGAGAGGGCGGGCTGGGCTGAGTTCGCTACTGGCTTACTCCTGGTGCGTGGAGAGGGCGAACAGCTAACGCGGCTGGCTTTCTTGTTTGAGAGGAAAACAGAATCACCCTATTGCTCTGATAGAT